TCGTCTTACACACGACGTGGCCGTTGGACATAGATCATTGCAGCTATATTCAACATCTTCCAAAAATATATGGGTTTTTGTGTAGTTCAAAGGTAGATGTTCAAGTAATGATTGGATGAAAAGTTTTCTCAAACTGTGCACATTGATTTTTTGGGCTCTGATTTTTCTTAAAAATTGTAAAGTTACATTTTGAGTATATGCTTTTTGCATATTTTTTTTTAAATTTCAGTCGGGATATTTGCATCAAGTTCTAGGAGAGTGTGGTCAGTTGATTGAATTTGAGAAACTCATAATGGTTGTAATGAAGGAAAAAGTGTTACAAAGGCAAGAAACGAAAATCTGTTCGACGTATCACCAACGGTTAGCAAGGTTTCCGTGAGAAATCAAAAAAAAAAAAATATATTAATTTTTTTCAAAATTTTTAATGTCTCCATAATCTTGAGATTGGTATAAAATCTGTTTGAAATGAGTTAACATGCTTCAAATTTCAGGATTAACTCCTCTAATGAATGTTAACAAAAAGTGAAAATTTGGAATAAATCAGCAAACCTTCAAGAGAGACCCTTATTGAATCTAGCTGAAATGACCACTATCTATCTGGCATACACCGTTGGGCAAATTAATTGAAACAGCCGCTTTAGTTTCCTTTTGTTCACCATACGGTCAGTTTAGACCAACAGGAGTGACAAGGTGTAATCGATTTCTATTTTTTCCTCACATTAGGTCATTTGCAGTGATGTGAAGTAATATGAATCTATTTTCAGATGTATGATGGAATTTGTTTGGTCTTGAAAAATATTGCATCATCTGTGATTGCAGCAGATTTTTATCACACCCAGACACTAATGTCACGACTGTCGATTAGTTGTCACATACACGCACACGTAGTTATCATTAGATTAGCAACAAGCTGGAAACTACATTATTCGGACTATTGTCCTCATCTTTGTCGCCATATTTACTACAACGTTTCGGTCGTCGTACGCTCCGACCTTCTTCAGGTGGTTGGAATGTCGAACTGAACCCTTTATTTCGTCAATGTTTAATGGTTATCAGTTATGTCCTGTCAATTTCCCTCTGAAAGTTCTCCACTGCCTTAAAAGGGTATTGAACTCACACTCTTTGGGTCCTGTCACTGGATATAACTAACACCTTTATCCACTGTGCCATGTGTCCTTGAGGACATCTGTGTATGAATTTCTGAGTATTATGAACCTAATGTCTTCAGAAACCATTTTACCAGTGCTCATATTGCAATTTTTGCTGTTATCATTACATGTTTTTACCAGAGCTCATATTGCAATTTTTGTTGTTATCGCTTTTCTCTGGCACTCCTTGTTACTGGTTCCCATATTGTATTCATTTCTATGCTTAGTCGCTTCAGGAAATTTTTGTGTCTTAGCATATGTGCTGACTCCTTGAGTTTAAGAACTTTTCAATGGTGTTCTTTGTCTATGATTTCAACCTGATACCGCAGAGGGTGGTGATCTCCCTTCTCTCTCCATATGTGGTCAGCAACGCCTGATTTTTCCACTTCCTCTTGTGTTACAGCTTTCTGATGTTCTTGAAGCCTAATTTGAGGGGGCGGCCCGTTTCTCCTTTATATTTCTTTCCGTAGCTGCACGGGATAGCGCACACACAGTCTTTAGTCATGTTTTCCTCTATGGGGCACGTGGAACTAGAACAGTCTACCCCAGCGAGCGAAATAAAGGGTTCAGTTCGACATTCCAACCACCTGAAGAAGGCCGGAGCGTACAACGGCAGAAACATTGTTTTAAATATGGCGACAAAAATAAGGACAATAAGCCGAATAATGTAAATAGTGTATCTTCTGTCATCCTGTATACTGTTCTTTTTATTGTCATTTCTCCTCCCTAAAGTCTTCTTATTCACAGAGAATCCTTTTGTATCTTAGTGGCGTTATCGTTGTGTAAAATAAGGCGACAAAGATGAGGACAATAGTCCGAATAATTTAAATAATGTGCATAATACCTCATCTCAGAAATATAGACAGATACTGAAGTTGGAAACTCTATAAAATTAATATATTTCCTTATTTATTTAGTTTGATCATAATTCCCAGAAAGCATTACCGATGAAACCCAATAAATAACGAATGATATTAAATTTATAAAGAGTTTCCAGCTCTTGTTTCTTATTAAATTATTCTGTCGGATTTCATCCATGTTTTCACACACATATATATATATATATATATATATATATATATATATATATATATATATATATATATATATACTGGAATATGTCTTTTCGTTTGATTAAATAAAATATTTCGACATTATCTTTATTGAATAATATTTTTTTTAAATCTTGTGAAATCTGTCAGAAAATTTAAAAATTACATCCTATTATCAGATTTTTTTTTCTTTCCTACTGTCTCAGAGAATATTCTTAAAGGTGTCTTTTGCAGTTCATGTTTCCAGGGAATTCTTTTGCATGGTTTTGATCTTCATTGATTCTCATTCTGTATACTGGAATAAATTGTAATCCAAAGATGACATATCTAGTAAATATCGTGTTTGATTAAAAGCACCGCTGCCTTCAAACCATAACAACGCTTGTCCAGGTCACCAACAACAGATGGAGCCTACGGTAACCCTTTTCGAATATTAAGCAATAAAATCAAATTCCCGGCGCAAGTTGCTGTCAAGACATACCAGAATTCAATAGCTATTACACGGCCTTTTTTTTTTTTGTGATGAGCTACTTTCCACTCTGTAGCATCTTTCCCGCAGATGCATCGTCGCAAGCACATCGCTATTTCCATGGCAAATGTTCAGGCGATCTGCTTTTCTTTAGTTTCACCAGTTCAAACATTCTCGACCCGCCATGTCCCGTACGCGACATAAAACTAATTCTCAATCACTTCGATCGCCTTTGTTAAGGAAGAAGATTCACGAAAACACCGTCTTACCCAGAAGTGTCAGTTTATGAAACAGACTCCCGCGGGGATGGTTTCTTTGCTACTACAGTCATAACCTTTTCACGCCTACGTTGTTTCTCCTACATCTCCTCACAGATTGAACCTCTTACTTCCTCCCTATATGCCCTTGCAATAAACTCATTCTACCATCCACCTTGAGTGACTATTAGAGCTTGTATTGGTTAACAATCAATATGGGTTTCATTCTGGGGTGGGAGAGACTCTAGATATGATATTTTACTTTCCAGCAAGTTTTAGAAAAAGTGTATGAAAGTACCGTGAATTCTACATAATTTTCGGGGAGATGATAACCTTTGAGCTTGCGGCCATGTCACGTTAAAACACAGGTTCCCGTACGATCATCAACAGAAACAGAAGAACAACGCAGCCGGAGGAGGAACGAGAATAGAGTCGCCATGAAAAATGCAATAAATGCACAAAAAATGTTCATTGACGAAATAATCTTCTGTTCCCTGAAGGCAATTATTAACAACATAACTCCGGTGGATAAAACAAAAAAAAAGCCACCAATGTTGACGGCACTGATACATTAGCACGGGTACAAACCGTGGTTTAGAAGTACATATTTGACGTCCGGCGAGACATAACCCTGTCTTATCATCATGAGAATCTCTTAAAACTTAACTGGCGGTCCTCCTAGAGATGCTACCTCGATAAATGCACTCTGTGGTAGAGCAAGCTTAAATTCCTCAACCTTCATCTTACTAATGAAATATATAATCAAAATACTTAAAGTAAGGGCGGGATTGGTACTAGAACCATATGTAATCAGTGTGGATTTTTTGAAGCGAAATTTTTTGAAGCGTACCTACAGTTGTAAAGATGTGATTTCGTTTGGTTTGGTTTGGTTTGGTTTGGTTTGGTTTGCTTTGGTTTGGTTCGTTAAACGGTATATCAACTGCTGATGTATCTTTTAATGCCGATATTTAATTTTCTTGGGAGATTTAATTTAATATTTAATCAAAATACGGAAAATAAGGGCGTGACTGATAATAAAACCATATGTAATAAGTGTGGATTTTTTTTTAATCGAGATTTTTTGAAGCGTACCTACAGTTGAAAAGATGATTTGCTTTGGGTTGGTTTGGTTTCGTTTGTTAAAGGCACATCAACTGCTTATGGGTCATTTAATGCCAAAATTTAATTTTCTTAGGAGCTTTGCTAATTTTATTTCTTTTACTATGAAAATGTATGACTGATATTGTTGAAACTTGACTAATGCATGGAATAATAATACAACACAAAATGTACGTAGAACAAAATGTATTGAAACAAGAAAGTGCACACAATATTTACATATAGTCTTTTCTATATTCCTGTTAAGACCGTTCCTGGAGAATGTGTTGACTGAGTCGCAGTCGGGCAGAGTCTCTGGTTGATTCTCTTGATTCCTCCCTCTCTTCCCGGTACCAACCATATTTATATGGTCGGTACTCTACTATGCAAATTAGGTGGATCCTACCACAACAGATTTTTTTTTTTTTTTACTATGAAAATGTATTTTTATATTTTCATTATGTTTTGATCCTAGTTTAGGGGTTAGCTATTTGCCCATAGCTGGTACCCTGACATGTGCTACCACCCCGGGTCTTAGTGGAACCTGGTAACAACAACAGTTAAGAGGTGGTTTCACCTTCTTCAAAACCTCAAATCTCCCGATCAGAGGTTTTGCTGCCGGACGTAATTTATCATCATATCCAGGACGAATGATTTGAAATAAGATAGTGTATACTTTAGACGCCTTTTAAAAAATAAACTTTGCCCGACCTAGAACTTGACACTCTTGTGTGGTTACGCCTGTCTATCGACAGATTAGCAATAGATGTGGAATTATATCTGGGAACAACAGCAATTAAGAGTTCGTTCCACGGTCATCATAATCTCTCGATTAAAAGGTCTTGCTGCCTGATGTAGTTTATCGTCATACCCAGGACTAGAAAAGATGTGAACTTTACCCGATTTTCACCAGGCCTTGAATCAGGATAGGGTTCAACACTTGGACTAAACAAAAGGTTTCATTCCCTGTGGATTCATGAGTGTTTTTCTTTCTTTCTTTCTTTCTTTCTTTCTTTTTTCTTCTTCTTCTTGGTGCGTTTCCCATTTTAATTATTTCTCTAAAAAGTGTTTTTACTTGTTTGAATTTTGGAATTTCTTTTTTTTTAATTTGGCTATCTATTATTTTTGTCTTGTTTTTTTTCCACCGTTTTTAATTATCTAACCTGTTCTGATGTGCCAGTGAGAACAGCTGATCTTTGCTTCTTCCTGGATTTCACGAAGTGAGTTTTGCGCAAAGGGCAAACCTTTTCAGGAGAAAGCACCGTATCTGATGAATGGTTCTTCGTGCGAAGCACAATGCTTGAACCAAAATCTGCCAGGTTGTCATTAAAGATGATATTCTAATGTCTTTTTGACCCAAGAACTTGAAATGCCAACGAAACATTTCACTTAGAATCAATTCCAAGTCACACAGGTAACCATAATTTCACTGAGAATCTGGTACATAGAACGAGAACAGTATAGCTCTCGTTGATTGAATAAAAGGTTTCAGTTCAGAATTCCCTGTTGATTACATAGATGAATATACATCTGAAGATCACAGGAAGGCACAACACCAGAAACGTCCTGATGACAACTATATGACGACAATAGTCCGAATATAAATTGTGCAAATAATGATAACACATCATCCCAGAAATTCAGACAGAAATTAAAATCAGTCAGTTATGTGCCATGCGTGATACACGCTCAGGCGATCATGTATCTTTCGATACATGACTGACGGGGCAGATTTTTCCCTGCAGTAGGTTGCCATTTTTTCTGCGGTAGACCAGTTGCAATCCATGGCTATAGAACCCGGTCTGTCCTGCTTTTTACCCATAGTTGGGGAGAGGAGAGGATTCATACCTTTCCCAAGATTATTAGCACGTAAGTGTATGTAATAGACTCGACTGGAATTCGAACTCGGCTCTCTGATTCCTCAATCGGAGCCGCTATCCATTAATCCATTACTAATATAAATGTAGTGAAAGAGACAATCACCTACCTCGAAAAAGAGTCCGTGTTTTGTGTGCGATTTGCCGAAGAAAAAATTCAAGAAGTTATTTATTACTGTATATAAATACAATAATTGTGGCACATGGCCGAAAGGGAAGTTGGGGGAGAGGCTTGTCTTCGCTAACTATCCTATTTCTTGTTCATCACGATTATGACCCACTAGCAGCATGGCCCGGCGTTGCCCGTACTTGATTAAAAAATCATACGACTCATACAGCAATCGCTATCACTTGACTTAAAATATTTTTGCCCTTCCTTGCCTTTAAAGGAGTGCCCTTTGCCGTGCTGATGTTGCTACATGCCTTACTTCTTGCCTATCTCACACTGCGAATTATTTCTAAGCTCTATACTAAACATTAAATTTGTTACGAAAAAGAACTAAACAAAATGAACACAAAACAATCAGCTTTAAAAAAGGACTCGTAACTGGAAAAACCGAATGAAAAAAGAATCTTAACAAATACTTTTTCACAACCAACCCAGTTCTGCGGAATTAGAATCAACGTTGAGTTTAAGCAAGCGAATGAGCCAATTGGAGTAAAGTACCACAGAGATTTAAATTTTTCCCACTAGTGACGAATGCAGCTTTCGATTTTTTTTGCATGCTAGCATGCTAGTTAACAATCAGCTGTTGACTCTCACGCTGGCCAATAGAATCTTCCTACCTATTAGTGGCAGCCAGCTATAGGCTCTCACTCTGGCCAGTAGGAAATGGCTGCAAACTACATGAAAACTGCCGTAGAAGCATGAAAAAATCGATTGTTTCCACTATCGATGGGAGTTGGGAAATGCAACGTCGGTCTTGGCCTTTCTGCTAACTTGGAGGATGTGCATGTAAATTTTGGTGCAAATCCGTCGAAAATTGCGGCCGTGCATTCGTTACACACACACACACACACACACAGACACATCCTGCCTTTTATAGATAGAGATTCATCCATCAAGAAAAATTCAAGAAAGTAGTTAGCAAAAATGTACTACTTTAAGTATCAAAATCTATGCTAATGTTCTTTCCCGCCTCTGAATGGCGTGGCCAATCATAAAAATCTCGCGGTAAATAAAAGCCGTTGTTTTTTGCCTAGGAGAAGATTTTTACTGGGCTTGGTGGACGAAACAGCGTTTCTGCTGGTGAGAAGTGAAGGTTGGATTTTTTTACCCATTTTGTGGTTTTTACGTTGCCTGTTGGACTGTTACGACGGACTATCGTTTGAAATGTGATATGGTTACAAGTGTTGTGGTCGAGAAACAGAATAAACCTATTGCAGGCGTTTATTGCTACTATAAGTTTGCAGGGATAGCATTTGACTTCAAACCGTCTACGGTCTGAAATTTAGCTTTCTAGGATGAATTTACCTTCCGAAAACGTCTGATATCTCTTGACAGAAACTTAGACCTGGGTGAAAGTGGGCAGGTGCCTTATTTCGTTGAATTCTCTTGTTCTGCAATAACAAGCAGGTTTAATGACGTCTCACGGCCGGCTGAATAAATCAACGCATTTATTTTCACTTGGATTCGCTGCTTGCGTCATGGTCTCTCAATAATTTACGCGGTCGTATGTGTTGAAGACTTATTCTTCATTCGTAATTTTGGTTAAAAATAAGTTTGTTTTTTTTTCCACAACGGTCAACGTAAACTGAAAAATTGTCATTTTTTTTTTTTTTTTTTTTTTTTTGCTGTCAGCTGCCAACCGCAGTGATGGAGAAAGCATTACCTCGCACCATCGCCAGTGAGGCACGCTGCAATAGCCCCTCCTTTTCGTGAGGATCGTCTCTTAACCGAGACCCATTCCCACTAACCCTCCGAAGCAATGCCATCGATCGAGGGCCAGTAATCCCAGAAGTATCCACTGCCACTGGAGATAAAATAAATCTGTCTGCTAGAGATCAATATTTAACTATTTTTTTTTTAATCTCTGCGGTTCGTGCGAGGGACACCGGCTAAACCGCGGACCTGATCAAATTACCGGTCGAAAGTGTATCGGCACAGGTCGCATCCCAAATCAACGACTTTAAAAGGAAAAATGAAAATCCTATCCGGCCGCTTTCCGTCACCACGATCGAGGACTACGGGTTCGATTTGGGGATTTTAGCTGCATCCAGACCTCTTCTGATGATGTCGTTTATTGCTGCATGCCTTAGAAAGCGGCCGGCATTACGACAACAGGAGAGAGGATGCAAACCAAATTCAACAATGGAAGCTCCACATCTACGTATTTTTTTTTTTGCTATCCTCTACCAGCCACCATGTTGGAGAAACCATTACACTGCACTATCGCCAGTGAGACTCGCTGCAAGAGCCACTACATTTCGCGAGGCTCGTCCCTTAACCAAGACTCAATCCCACTAACCCTCCGAAGGAACGCCATCGAACGACGGCCAATAATCCCAGAATTCTCCATTGCCACTGGAGTTAAAATAAATCTGTCCGCAAGAGAAAAATATATAACTATTTTTTCTTTTTGTTATCCCCCGCGTCTCGTGCGACAAACCCCGGCTGAACCGCGGACCTGATCAAATTACCGGTCGCATCCCAAATCAACGACTTCCTCATTTTAAAAGGGAAAATGTTAATCGCATCCAGCCGGTTTCCATTACCGCGGTTGCAGCGTCTCAAGTCTCTTGCCACTATGTCGCTATTTCCATGGCAAACGTTCAGAGGATTACTATTCTTTCAACTCCACCAGTTCAGACCTTTACATGTCGAAACTGCCATGCCATTTTCAGAGAGTCGAACCACGTTCATAAGGAAAGAATTTCACTCAGACAACCTTTTTTTTTCCAAACACGACTACTTCGTGAAACATTATTCTGTGAGTACGTTTTCTCTAAACGCTAAAATCCTGACCTCTTCAAGACAATCAAATCTATCATTCTATGCTCCATATCCTCACAATTTTCGCTTCCCGAGACACGTCATCTATCTTTCATATCAATAGCCTTATTTATCCTTACTACTTTAATAGTAATCCTCTGCCTTGAGTGACTCCCATCATTCGTTTCGGGTGAATTTTAATATTTAAAAAAAAACGGTAGTTAATTTCCGGAGAAACCTTGAATTTTGTTTTTTTTATTACGCAGACTGATTGTATAAGAAATATCTTGAAAAAACGTTCATAAATTTTACATGTTTCGCTATTTATTTGGCTTCATCAAAATGTCGGTGGTGTGAAGATTGGGCTGTGTGGAAACGTTTCGTTATTTTAATTCTATGTATATAAGATTGTCTGAATTCTTTTGGGCGTTCTGCGTTTATCTTGTGGCGTCTCTATGCGTTTTAAATTCCTGAAATGGTAAATTGGTGTGGCGCCGGATTTATTGGACACGGGATTAACATGAAGAATATTGGAGTGTGGAATATCAAGTTAAAATTCTCCTTCGAATATTTAGGGCTGTTTCGATTTTTACACTTTGTGTGAAAACCTTTGGAGTTTTTTGTAGGGTAGAGGTCACGTTTTCCATGTAAGGTGTTAGCATGAACACGTGACATTTACCCAGCTAATCGAAACCGATATATAATTTCAAAAATTGTCAAAAGGGATTTTAGATTGTGATAAAATATGAGAAATATATTATTAAGGAGAGAGGACAAAAAAAGAACAAGATTTAAAGAAGATATTTACATTGCATTTTATCTTTTGAAAATCAAATTTGAGTGGAGAGCAGGGAAACGGAAGAGAGTTCCACAAGCGAGAAGTGCGATAGAAGAAACTGTTAGCATAGAACTTACGGTTACATCTAGTCATTTCAACTCTAAAATGATGAGACCTTGTCGCCAATCTAGTACTGCGCGTTGATTTATAAAGTCTAGGTACCATAATAGAAAGTTCTTCAGAACCATTACCATGTAAATATTTATAGAAAAGACATAGGGAATCTACGTTACGTCGGTGGGAAAGTGACTGATGCCGAAATGCCAGTACAGGACTAAAAACATTGCCGATTCTTCTTTGAATTTTATGAGGAATCTCTAAATATATACTAGGAGCAACCAGACCAAATGCGGCAGCAATATTCAAAGACGAATGATACACTTATAAATGCGCAAGATAGATTCTTGGGTGAGTAATTGT